CTCGCACTTAGCATAATGTTTTCAAGGTTTATCCATGTTGTATGTAGCATGAATATATACATCGTTCTTTTTTATGGCTGAATACTGTTCCACTGTGTGGGTATGCCATAATTTGTTTGTTCATGAGTTGATGGACGTTTAGGTTGTTTCTACTTTTTAGATGTTATGAATATTACTGCTGTGAACGTTGGTGTGTGATTTTTTTTTTTTTTTTTTGTGGACATATGTTTTCACTTCTCTTGGGTTATACACCTTGGAGTGGAATTGCTGGGTCAAATGGTAGCTCTATGGTAAACTTTTTGAGGAACTGCCAAACTTATTTCCACAGTAGGTGCACCATTTTGCATTCTCATTAGCGGTGTGTGAGGGCTCCAATTTCTCCACATTCTCACCAGCACTGGCTCTTATTTCTGTTTGGTTATAGTTATTCTTGTGGGTGGAAAGTGTTTCTCAGTGTGGTTTTGATTGACATTTCCCAATGACTAATGATATTGAGCATCTTTGCATGTGCTTATATATTTGTATATATTCTTTGGAAAAATGTCTATTCAAATCCTTTGCTCATTTTTAAATTATCTTTTTATTGGGGCATCTGGGTGCCTCAGTTGGTAATCCTCCAATTCTTGGTTTTGGCTCAGGTCTTGATCTTGGGGTCCTGGGATCCAGCCCCGTGTTGGGCTCCCTGCTTAGCATGGAGTCTGCTTCTCTCTCTCTCCCTCTGCCCCTAGCCTCACTCATGTACACATTCACTCTCTAAAATAAAAAATCTTTAAAAAATTATCTTTTTATTGTTGAGTTGTAAGAATTCTTTATTCTAGATACAAGTCCCTTATCAGATATAGGATTTGCAAATATTTCTCCTATTCTGTGAGGTTGTCTTTTTGCTTACTTGATAGTATCCATCGAAGCACAAAAGTTTTTAATTTTGGTGAAGTCTAATTTATTGGGTTTTTGTTGTTGTTGCTTATGCTTTGGGTGTCCTATATAAGAATCCATTGCCAAATACAAT